ATAAATATTAATATTTAAAAATCTAATTTTTAAACTATTAATTAATGGTTTACTTAATGCATAGGCAAGCGTTTTAACAAGTAAAGTTCATCTGATTTAAATGTGCATAGAAATATTAGACAAAATCCATCAAATAATTAATAATAATATTAGACAGATTGAATTTAGTCTACAATCAAGAATAATTATTAAGAAGAAATTCCCTTTTATGTATGAGATATCTTTGAATTCCCAAATGATATCACAGGTATATTTCTAAGCTATTTTATAATATGACAACTATCTCAAAAAATTATGTAAGAATAAAATATTTAATCATTTAGATGTATTTTGAATATAGTAAATAAAAACAGAAATTATATCAATAGTTGAAAATCCTTATAATCCTTATCCAACAAGCAAATTGTAACACTATTAAATTAATAAATGAATTGATGTTTAATGGAGGATTTGGTATTTTGTATTATAAACATAGGTGGAAATTAATTATTTATCAATTTTATTTACCCCTTATTTCTTAAAACCAGAATAGACAGATTTATCTGATTTTAATTATTATTATTTTCAGCATTATTTTTCAAAGATTGATCAATAATAAACTCAAAATTTTATTTATTTTATTATGGATTAAGTAGACATTTTTTAATTTTTAAAGTAGCCAATATAGTGGTAACTATCTATAATATTTTGGATTCAATTGCCACTCAGATTTTAATAAATTTTTGATGACCAAATTATTTAGTGATAGGGCTTTAATTTTCATATAAAATATTTAATAAAGTGATTTACTAAAGATCTATAAATAAACAATACAAGATTCTAAATGGAATATTAATAATAATCTTAACTTAATAAACATTAAATTTTGCAATTATTCACTTGAAATATTAAAAAAAAATAATGAAAGTAAAGAAATAAATTCTTTAATAAATTAAAAGCCTATAAAGAAAATCAATTATAATAATTAAACTTGAATATATAATACAAAAAAGGAACGAGAATAAATCTATTTAAATCATCTTATGAATATCAAGTATGAAATATCATACCCCAAAAAATATCATTAGAATTTGTGAATATTATTATTGTTACTAAATTTTGATAGGTAGATTTCATCTAATATTGTTCAGAACAAAATCTATATTAAATATTGGCTCCATTATTTCAGATTTCTTTACTTTAGGATCAAAATCAAAAATGTAATCTATATTGGATCATGTAAGGCTACAGAGTAACTGTGAAAGAAATCAGTTTTGTCTAATCAGGTAAAAAGTAAACAAACATTTAAATCATATCTTTCTTATATTCTAATATTAATAGGACATTATTGAAATAAATACAAGTATTAAATTCTCGAATTCTTCAATCTATTCTCTAAATATGGTAAAGTTCTGAAGTTTATATTTTTATTTTTAAGATTGCTTAACTAGAATTAAGTTGGAACATTACTTAGCTAACATTCCAAATCTATTGAAACTATTCTCTCTATCATATTGTCTATTTATAGGTTGTCTACTTAACATATTTTTTGCAGCTTCATTATTAATTTATCTTAATTTATTATTCGCTCATAAATCATATTCATAATAAAAAGCTTACTTATAGGGTCAAATCATGAAAATTTAATGGGCTTATTTTAATTTTATTTAAATCTAAGAAATCATCACAATAATTGCAAATTCTTTAGACAAATTATATCTTAATAATTTTTTTGATTTATTAATGCCAAACTAATAATAAATCTTGTATATTCTTAATATTATGAAAATGGCATCTGCCTATGCCATAATAAATCCAAGAAACATCTTCAACCATTTGTATTTTTTCACCCCTCCTTTTAGATAAGTTAGAGTTTGAAAAGAGGTATGACCTTTTTTTTTTTTAAGATAGAGCTTTTTAAATTCAGCAATTAGGGAGATTTAGGATTTTGATTATAAAAAAGTTGATCTTTGAATATTAAATGGATTTATTTTTTAATTTAGGAACATCTTAATAAATTAGGTCTGATTCTCATCAGTAACACAATCAGAAATTTATAACTGTGTATTTATTGAACTATATAATAATTTCTATCAAGTGTTGCTTAAATTATTATGCTTATTATAAAGCTTTTAAATTTTGATTGACAAACAACAGTGAAATAAAGTTTAAAAAGATCAATTAATAGAATTACTGCATTTAATGGACATTTTTTACAAATTAAAAACTAATATTTTTGTAAAAAAGAATTTAATACATATAATGAAAATTACATGATTTTTCGGTTATTTAAAATAAAAATTTAGATTAATATCTTAGTTATAAAAGCATATTAATATATTAAACTTTATTCATTATACAATTTAAAATTCCCTCTTATATTTTAAAATGAACTTGCAAGTCTTGGTTGGCCTCTTTTCCACGATAAGAAGACTTATCTCATCTTAACTATTATCATTTTTATCATTTGAACGACCATCATTTAAAAATGTTCATCAGAACATGATGATGATTCTGTGAATTTTTATTGGATTGACAACAAAGCATACTTTTTTTGTCTGTTAATGGACACTGGTAGAGTATTACATCATTTTTATTTATAAGGACTTGAAGACAAGTTGATCCCATTTATTTAATATTAATACGTTTAAGTAATGTTTATTTTATAAATTATTTCTTCCCTCAATTCTAATAATTTATATTAATTAAATTGAATATTGTTAAGGTAGAGATATTGGGTGAAAAATGAGCATAAGTAGCCATTTATCCATGGATATCGATTGGCTAACTGATATCGACTACTCAGCTAGATACACCGTTCATTAAAGGATAACTAATAGTAAGGAAAGGTGAGCTAAGCATGGAACAAGTCTTTGAACCGTGCTTCTTAAGATACTTTAACCGAACTTTAAGTGGGCCAGATTAACATGAATACAGAGACTCATGAGATAAATGAGACAAACCTTATATTCAAAAGAAATAAGGAATAAAGATTAAGATCTAATCAAATAGGACAGAATAAGGGTCACAATCATAATATCTCCCCTTTAAAGATACCTAATGTACCTATATCTGCTTGAGCAACAGATAAGATTTAGATTTTAACTTGAATCAATCATCAAAAAAAAAAAGAGAACTGATTATGAGATTATTTTATCTGATAATAATAATAATAATATTAAATTAATTGAATCTCTTAAATTCAATCTTTAAATAATAATAAATTATCTAAGCTTAATGAATCAATTTATAGATCGAGATTTACTTTTGGCCTGTGGGCAACGAAAATTTGCAAAAGCTTAATTATTTTTTACAACATCAAAGAGAAAGCTGAGAAGTCAACTAGAGATGAAACTCTTATAATAAAGAAGAGAATAATGATCTATCTAAATCTTAGGTAATTAAATGAA